TAGTCACCCCGAGAGTCACGCTGCAGGGTCCTCTGTGTTCTGGGGTTTTAAGTGCTCACTTGTGTTCAAGCATCTGTCCTCACACTGACCCTGTGGAGTGTGTGCACACCCCCATTTTACAGGTGGGGAGACTGAGGCACAGAGCTATCTGGCGCCTGCCCTGGTCTGTACATCAGAGCACGGTGGAGCTGAGATCCGGCCCTGGGTGGCCTGGCCCCACTCTCCGGGCCCTGCTGTGCCGCCCGCCAGCCCCAGTGCCTGACTGGCCGCGGGGCCCGGTGGGGCAGGAGTAGCTGCAGTAACTCCCGCTCCAGCTCTCCGCAGCCTCTGGGCTTCCTCCACTGGGTATTTTGCTTCCGTCTGTGTTCTCCCAAGCAGAAAAGCAGCCTGAGGGGCAGGTCTGGTGTCCCCCTGTTCTCATGGACACGCAGCGTGGCCTCGTGTGAGACTGGCATGCGAGAAACTGAGTCCTTGGACATGAAGTCCCTGTTACTCTAGGATTTCAGTGTGTGACTCCACAGATTCCCCAGACTTCAGCCATGTCTCTTAGCTCCTCTGAGCCTCAGTTTCCTTACCTGCACTGTGGGGCTCCCTGTGCCCCTAATATGAGATGCAGGGAGCACAGGGTCACAGACCAAGTGGCGGCCTGGATCCTGGCGCCCTCAGTGCTCAAGCCATGCCCTCGCCTCGCCTCCCAGGAAGACTGGCCCCCAGGCTGCTCCCAGTTCCAGCTACTCTGCAGCGTCTTGTGGATTGGGAGTGACCCCCGCCCCATGGGGCTCTGGCAAAGGAGTGTCTGGTGCTGATGCAGCCAGGTGCATGGGCAGTGGGTGATAGTGTCCCCGAGAGGGACCCCAAGTCCTGCTCTCCCAGCAAGAGATCCCTGTGCTGGGCCAGACTGGCCCTGTATGGACTGGGCCGGCAGGCTGTGGTTTGCAGAATTCTCCTGCTGGTGGAGACTCGAGCTGAGTTATGTCCTTCCCACCCGAACCTCTGAGTCCCACCTTGGCATGGCCCTGGGGGGCAGCAGGCACCCCAGGCGGAGAGCAGGGCCTGGGTTTGAATCTCCAGCACTGCTCCCCAGCCCGCACCTTGGCTCCATGTCCCAAAGCAGGGATGGGGGCTTGCAGCTGATGCAGTTTGCTGCCATCCCGGCACCCTGCGCACCTCACGCAGGGCCCGGGGGCGGAGGCCTGGCCCTCTCCTTGCTGGGTCGTTCAGGATGCCATTTCAGAGGACAGGGCTGGTGGGTGGGGCTCTCTGCCTGCACCTGGGGAGACACAGAGAAAGCAAGACCTTAGGTCTGCCCTGAGGAGCCTCTCACCTGGACAGGCTGCGCCCAGGGCCCAGTGCAGCTGTGGCGCGGGGGCAGCGCTGGAGGAGGGCGGGTTGCCCAGGAATGGCCTCGGCTGGACCTCGCAAGGAGCAGGGTGCTGCTGGGTGACAGGGAGGTTGAGGCTGCGTGGCCAACGCCTCTGCTCTGTGCTCGAGACAGTGCTGGCGCCCCACCATGCATAGGGGTGGTTGTCTTGGTGCTTAGAGCCTGCATCTGGCTTTTAGCGTAGCAGCTGCCAGGGTGGTAGGTGCCCGCCCTGAGCTGCTGCATCCTGCCCGGATGGTCACGGTGTCCGTGAGAGGACGGGCTGGAAGGGTGGGGACACGCTTGAATGAGCCCAGGATGGAGCCTGCTTCCCAGGGGAGTGGCTTGGTGTTTTGTTTTGCTTGTTTCACTGTGGTAAAATGCACATAACACGACATTTACCATTTCGGCCGTGTTCAGTGTGTCGTTCAGCAGGCGTGAGCGCATGCATTCCTGTCCCTGTGCCACCATCACCACCGTCTGTCTCCAGAATCTTCCCAAACTCTGTCCCCATTAAACTAACTTCCTCTTCCCTCTCCCTGCACCCGCTCTTCTTCTTTTTGTCTCTGCGTTTGACAACCCAGGGACCTCGTATAGGTGGAATCACACGGCATGTCCTTTTGTGGCCAGCTTGCTTCACTGAGCACCGTGTCCTCCAGGTTCCTCCAGGTTGTAGCAGGTGTCAGAATTCCCTTCCTTTTTAAGACTGAATTATATTCCACTGTGTGGATGGGCCACATCTTGTTCATCCAGCCGTCAGTGGACACTTGGATTGCTTGCACATTTGAGCTATTGTGAGTAATGCTGCCGTGAACACGAGGATGCCAGTATCTCTCCGAGCCCTTGCTTTGACTTCTCCCGGCTGCGAGCCCAGCAGCAGAACTGCTGCATCAGATGGTGGTTCTCGGTTTAAGTTTTTGAGGGCCTGCCGCGCTGCTTCCGCGCAACTGCACTGTAGACATTGCCCCCGGCGGTACCCGGGGGCCGGCTTCTCCGCCTCCTCGCCAGCACTTGCTGTGTTCTGTTTTGTTTTTGTTTGTTGTTGAAAGTAAGTCCTAGTGGGTGTGAAACACGAGGTGAAATTTAAAACGTCATTTCAGACGAACTTACTTTGTTGAATTTTGCTCCTTTCTCCCAAAATAAGGGCAGAGAAAAATGGAAGTCGAAGTGGTACATGTTTTACTCTCTGAGGAGACGGCGGAATAACAGCCCAGCGGGCTCAGCTAGCCGCGCCGGAGCCCTGACTGCGCGGCGTGTCTGGACGGCGCTTTCTGGAAGCTCCTCAGCAGGAGGGCCCTGCAGCCGCTTCCAGGCCGCGTCGCCGGCGGGACTCGCGTGCGGCCCTGTCTGCCGGGCTCGCTGTGCGTTTGCGTGGAGGGGTGTCTTCTCCTGGTCGTTGAACCTCTGAGTTGAATGCAGTGCTTTCGCACTGGGGATGCCTGCACCCCGGGGGGACCCGCCGTGTCTGTCCACAGCACAAGGTGGCTGGAGGCCTGAAGGCCGCTTTCTGCTCGGACTCCCTCCTCCACAACGTGATTTCCCCATGTTATTTACTGCTGGGTAACAGACACCCCAAAACTTCATGCTAGTTCCAAGGCTTGTGATTCTGTGGATCTGGGGTCCGGGCAGGGCTCAGTGGACTGGGGTCACTCGGGCAGTGGCATTTGGAGGGTGGCCTCAGGCATAGCCTGGGGCCCTGGTGCCAGCTGTTGGCCAGGCCGCCTCGGTTCTCCTCGGGGGTCTCTCTCCGGCAGGGTAGCTGGGCTGTGTTGGCGGTGATCACACCTGTGCGATGTGGCGACGTGGGGCCAGGCTTTACCTTCCTCCCCTCCCCACAGACAGACAAGCAAACAAGGAACGCGGAGAACGCCTCCCTGGGGCAGGCGGGGGCCTGGCTGCCGCCACGTCTCCCTCCTTCCATCCACACTGAGCACGGGGTCTCCTGGCGTCTGGCCTGGGCTTGGACACTGGGACCACAGAAGACTCAGAAGTGGTCCTGCCTCAAGGTGTTGGGCCTGGTGGCTGGGACATGTGAGGTCAAGGGTCACAGGCTCTCCCCAGAGGTGTCCCCTAAAAGCATCGCCGGCTGAACGGTCAGGGGTCAGAGGTCAGGAAAAGCCACCTTACACAGCAGAGTCTCCCTGGGCTCAGGTGGGGCCCCGAGGCCGCCAGGGGGAGTGGAGCGGCGGCTGCGCTCCCTCCAGGCCTCACCGGCCGCGTCCCCAGGAGCGCGACGCCTGGAGGAATGCCGCCGGCTCCACTCCCTTCGTAATGTGGTTTTTTATAGTCTGAGGACTGACTGTGCCGCGGCCTCTGCCAGCTGACTGTAAGCTCGGGATTAGAGACCTGGCCCTGGGGGAGCGGGGCGGTCCGGACGGGGCCTCCTCCCTGCACAGCCGCCAGTCGGCCAAGGTCCTGGGCTTGAGATCTCGGCCAGGGCACCCTGCCCCTGAGGGACCCCACCCAGCCCTCCTGGGCAGCGGGTGCCCCCTTGGTCGGCACCAGGGTGGGCCTCGCTGTGCTGCCCGGTCAGAGGCTCTGTGGTGCCGGGACGTGGCCCCTGTCTGGGTCTCAGTTTCCTCATCTCTAAAGCAGGCACGTCACCAGGTTTGGGCCCTGGGTGGCCGCCCAGCGGCACAGCCGTGTTGCCACGTGTGGGGCTGGCCCGAGACCCTGGAATTCAAAGCGGCGAGCGTGACCAGGACGGTTTTAGTGTGGCGCTTCCCCGTCCTCCCTGTGCGCCCTCCTCCTGCCTTTCTTTGGGCAAAGGGCGGAGGGCGAGGCACCGAAGGATTCTTGTGCAGTGACAGCACGCCGGGCATCCAGCCCACGTGACCTGTGTCCCCATTCACTCGGCCATGGGACTTCATTCACGCTGGCGGGGCTCCGGCCCGGCGCAGGCCCCCACGGCCTCTCTCTGCCTGGCACCCTTGCAGCGGCAGTCCCCAGGTGCCCCGTCTGCCCGAGCCCCTGGGCTGGGATCTCAGCCGGGCCTTCCCTCTGTGGGTGGGAGCCCCTTGGCGGGACCTCAGCCCCGTAGCTGCGCACCGTGGGCTCCAGCCCCCACCCAGGAAGAGGGGAGGGATGTGAGGTGGAGCAGGTGCCAGCACCCCTCTCACCACAGCCCTGGGTAAGGAAGCAGGGTCATGCAGCCACCCTCCTGCGATGTGCATCCCGCCAGCCACCCCCTCAAATGAATGCGGGGCCCTCCTGTGCACCCAGGACACCCTCCTTGGCCTCCTCCTGTGGCCCCTTTCTCCAGAAATTCCAGCTCCTGCTGCTGGCCAGGGAGACACGAGGTGGCTGATGGCCTGGGACCCGCAGACAGGACTCCCTCCCCACCTGGTTGCTGCTGCGCAGCCTGGGCCCCGGGCAGGGCCGGTGCCCGCAGGCCTGGGAGAGCTGGCGCCTGGCCCGAGCTGCCCGGACCACTCGTGTGCTGACCGGGGCCGGAAGAGGCTCACCACGGCGCTCCGGGGACACTCCCTCCAGCTTGGCGTGGGGGGGTGGGGGGGTGCTCTCCTGCTTGCTCCAGCTTCTGCGGGCAGTCCCCATGCCGGCAGCCCCGAGGCCGCCCCGCAGGGGTCCCACCCCACCTGAGCTCTGGCCGGGCTGACACAGGTCTGTCCGCCGTCTGCAGGGGCTGGAGTCTTCTTCCTGTCCTCGGCTGAGGGAGAGCGGATCAGCTTCCTGTTTGACTGCATCGTCCGCGGCATCTCCCCGACCAAGGGTCCCTTTGGGCTGCGGCCGGTTCTCCCAGGTTCGTGAGGGAGCCTGGCTGGGTGGGGAGAGCCAGGTGGGCTGCCTTCCCTCTGCCCTGCCCCGCCCCCCGTGCACCCGGGAAACCCAGAGCATTGCTGACCTGACTGCAGCGAGCGATCACACCACCAGGTTCCTGGGGGCACGGCTCCTCCTCCACAGGGTCTGAGGTGCGGGGACATTTGAGGGCCATGGCTGCTGGCGGGGACAGCTACATGGCAGCTGCACCAGGTGGATTAGCAAGAAGCCAGAGATGGGGATCCTGGAGACCTTCCGAGCGGGACCCAGTCTCCCCGACCTGAGGCCGCTGGGAAAGTGGGTCAAGACGGGCTCTGTCCGAGCTGGTGCTCAGGCTGGAAGCCACCTTGTGAGGTGGGGTCTCAGCACGTTGGGGTGGTGGGGGCAGGGGCTGCCCTGAGCTTGCCTGGTCTTCTCCCCCCACGTTCGGGGCTGTGGCCGGGCACCATTCTTCAAGTGTCCTGGGCCAGGGGTGGTGCTGGACCCCGGAGGGGCCCCGCTACCTGGGCACTTTGTCCCACTAGGTGGCACCCAGGATCACTGTTAGTGCCCCCACCCAGTGAGGCAGCGCTTGTCCCCTTGTCCAGACGGGAGACTAAGGCCTGCAGCCGTGCAGCAGGTGGTCAGTGAGCTCACATCTGCAGGCTCCTTGCGTGGGCAGCGCAGCTGGGACAGGGGCAGGCGACGTGCCAGCTCCTCCTCTCCCAGCCTTGGCACCTCAACCCTCCAACCCCATAAGCAGGCCCAGGGCGGACGGGATTAGGGGGAAGGAGACAGCTCCTGTGACCAGAGCCTTTCTGCCCCGGCTCTGCTGGGTGGTGTTGCAGCGCCCTCTGCTGGCACCTTCCTGAACCGCAGCCACAGGTGTGGTGTGGGGTGGCGGGGCTCCTAAGGGGCCGATGTGGATGGGGAGGGTGTGGACAGCAAAGACATGGACGGGGCTGGTGGGGCTCTGCTCTCTCAGTCTGGCCGGTGTCATGCTGACGCCTGTGATCATCGGGGACTCCTGAGATGTGGCCTTCACTTGGTCAGCAGCCTTAACACTCTGGGATTTTGGGGTGTCTTCTCGAGCTGACTGCTGGTTGGTCAGACCCAGGTGGACACTAAGGCCCAGAGGCAGGACTCACCTCACACAGAAAGAGGTGGGAAGGGAAGGGGAGAGGTTAGAGTTCCGGGGTCCACCCTGCCCTAAGCATCTCCCGTGCGTTCTCTTCTTGATCCCACCATGACTGGGACGTGCTGTCTCTGAACCCACATTTTGCAAATGTGGCTGCGTGGCTCAGGGAGGGAAAGTGGTGGAGCCGTGAGTCCATTCAGTGCCAGCGTCTTACTGCCTCACCAGCGCCAGAAGGGTGTGCCTGGTGTCCTGACCCTGGATGTCACCAGGGTTGGTCCCCACTGCAGGACATGTCCGGGCACAGGACATCACTGGTAGTCTGGGGGCTGTCCTTAGGCTCAGGACACAGGCTGGTGGCTGGGGGACCTGGATGGGGGTGGTTTGGGTACCCAGAGTTTGGTGTCCAGTGGCTGGGATGCAGGTGTGGGGAGGAGCTGGGGCTCCCTGGGGACCTGTGGCTCTGTCCTGGCGTCAGGGCTGGACCAGGGTCCACGCTGCCCGGACAGTGCTGGGGTCACCGTGACGTCCTGAGCAGCATGTGGGCTGTGGCCAGGATCCTGCGGGGAGCGGGCTGGGGCTGCCTCCACTGCTGACTTTCTGCTCTGCCGCCGCAGACCTGAGCCCCGGGGGACCCGCCAACGTGGAGGAGCGAGTTGCTCAGGAGGCCCTGGAAACCCTGCAGCTGGAGAAGCGGCTCAGCCTGCTCTCCCACTCCGGCCGGCCAGGCAGCGGAGGTGGGCCATGGCCTGGGCTGTGGGGAAGGGGCAGTGGCCCTGGGGCCAGTGCTGGCAGGTTGGGTTTGAATTCTTTCCCAACCACAAGTGATGCAGCCTGGTGAGGCCGTGATTGCACCATCTGCACCGCCTCGGGTGCTGGGTGCTGGGAGCAGAGGGCCCTCAGCTGCTGCAGCTCTTGTGAGGGGAGCCAGCCACGGGCGGGAGGGGGTGCTGCCCTAGGTCTCCTGGGCAGAGTAGGGGAGCTCTGCCGGCCTTCTGTCCTCTGTGATTGCTGCCAGCCCCACGAGTACACAGTGGGGACAGCGGCACTCCAGTCTAGGCCCGCCCCTAGAGGAAGGCGCTCAGATGTGCACGGAGCCACCTCCTTCTTGGAGGAGAGGCTCACATCTTGTTCCAAGGTAGATGGCGGGGAGGCACGTGGACTCCAGAGAGAGCTGGAGAGGGCTGGTGTGGTTGAGGAATAGGCGTGGGGGGGGGCCGTCCTGGGTGACACTGGGTGTGGAGTCCAGGGAGGGGTGGGTGAGCCAGCACAGGTGGTGGGTGTTGGGGGGTGTCAGCCCAGCTGAGGCCTCCAAGCTGCCCCGTCCCACCTGGGCCCCGCAGCAGCCTCAGCCCCGGCCCTCTGACTGTCCTGCAGGGGATGACCGCAGCCTGTCTGGCTCGTCGTCGGAGGCCAGCCACTCGGATGTCAGCGCCAGCAGCCGGCTCGCAGCGTGGTCAGAGCCATCCTCGTCCTCGGCCAGCACGTCGCAAGAGGGGCCGGGGTTGGCGGCTGCCCAGGCCCCCGGGGAGGCCGCAGTAGGCGCCTCGAGGCCGCCCCTCAAGCCGCTGCGGCCGCGGCAGCTGCAGGAGGTCGGCCGCCAGAGCTCCTCAGACAGTGGCATCGCCACGGGCAGCCACTCCTCCTACTCGGGCAGCTTCTCCTCCTGCGCAGGCAGCAGCCTGGATGTGTGGCA